CCCCCCCCCCCCCCCCCAGCTGGGAAACAAAATGCTCAACATAAACTCCAGTGCCTTAGCAAATTCTTCTAGTCTGGTAACCTAGCAATCTGCATTAGTCATTCCTTTTGTGACTTCTGCAGATTTCTGACCCTCATTAGCTTCATTCCAGAACTGTCCTTTACAACCCTGCTAGCCTGCTCACTCAATCCTCTGCTACTTGTTTTTCTAATTCCTATTTAGAAAATGCATTTTCATAAACCATGTTTATTTACAACAGGTATTAAAGAAGGTTTACATGCATTTTCAAATTATCAATACCTATTTACAGTACTTAACATTTAGAAGTGCATAACAAGTTATACAAATTATGGTGGAAAATAAAATCTCATTTACGTTAACACTCAGTCATGCCGAAAATTTAAGTATAAACCATTTCAGAGTAAATGTCAACGAAACAACATTTTAAAAAGTTTGAACTACTAGCAATATATTGGTCATCATTAGATTAGAAAAGCACCAGTGCAGCTTATAAACTTTCATACCCTTGCCCTCTACAGATAGCACTGTATATCCAGTAACTGGATGTTAAATTGCATGAGAAGAGTACGAGAAATCAATGGGAGAGTCTCTCGTCACCTACAGTAACTTGACTTAAGAAGGTACCTCGGCTCCAGCTGCATTATTCACGTAGCTGGAGTCGCACAGCTTAAGTTGACTGTCTGCTATAGAGTTAACAGCTGCCTAATAGGCAGTTGTCGTAAGAGAGAAAACAAGTGGATTTATCAGATGTTGCTTTGCTCAACGAAGCTTCAGACTGGGAGCTGCAAGTTGGTGAGAAGAAATCTCAGAGATTCTTCGGTGTAGACTGTAACTAAACCTATGGTACCTCTTTAGTTTGTAACTGTTTGTATTACATAACGTCCAGAGAAGATAAGCTAGCAGTTTTTGTCATGTATGCTATTTCTCTTGATTCACTTGAGAATCTGAATTAATCTTCTTTAATTAGATGATTTGGAGATCACACTGGGAATTTCATACAGCCTGTCCAAAAGAGGAAAAAGCCTTCTCTAAAAAGAAATAGAGAAGGGATGAGGGGCCTTGCCCTTATTGAGGTTCTCTGTCAAAATTGCACAAAATGTGTGAGAAGGGCTGTGGAAGTATTTGAGGGCAAAGGACAGGAATTCAGATGAAAGGAGTAAAAGTGACACAACCAGTAGGTTTGTTTGTTTATTTAACAGTGTGATAAAATAGTCATCCTTTCATTGTTCGGCACATGCAATATTTATTAGCACGTATTTCAGGCTTTAATTTTGCATTAAGAAGTGTAACATTGGAATTAAATTGCCTGTTAGATTAAAATATTTCCTTGCTGAAAATGATGGCAAACTGCTTCTGAACACTTTGCCCATAAGGCTTCTGATCATTTGCCAGTGCTGGAGAAGGGAACAGGATACTGAAAGAGAGAGGGAGAGAATTTTTTTTCATTACGCACCCAATCTGACAAATTGTGTTTAGTTACAGCAGATGGTGATGGTGGAGGGAAGGTATGCACAAGCTTTTACCTGGGATGGGGAAAGTGGTTTATTTAGTGTCTGCAGTGTCTTGGGCTCCAATCCTTGTGTTATATTTTGAGCAATCTTGATTAGGCTCTTAGGGTGTTAATTTAAAATTGGATTAGGGATGTTAAAGAGGTTTTCTACCATACTAGACCCACTAAATTGACTGCTGGTGGAGCATCGAGGATGTGTGTGTCCTAATTAACTACCTCTTTTCAGTTATAGGCTGTGATCATTTTGATCTTCAAGGAGATAAGAGTTCATTCTCTCTTTCATACAGAGGTAGATACACAGATGTCCTGGCTTATCGTACCAGTCCAAACTTCACCATTATGGCACTCCCAGGCTTTAATACCAGTGTGTTTTTCTGATTCATTTCACTCCAAATACTCTTTGCAAGGCAGTTTTCCAACAACTAAAAATTTCCACCTAACAGTTTCTTTCTCCCCATCTCCTTATGGTCCAATATTGGGAAGGAGTCCTTTTGGAATGCTATTTAACCTCTTTTCTAATGATTACTGTCCCTGACCCAGGGGACAGCTCAGTAGTATCTTACTAAAAAAACTGGAGGAAAGTTAGGCAATTTTAATGATTATTTATGTTATATCTATTGTGGTAGGCCTACTAGTGCTGACATAAAATGATGGTGCCTGTCTAAAAGAGCTTACGGTGTAAAAAGGACTATATGCAGCATACCTCAGGAAGGCAAGAATGGAGTTTGCAGCATATCCAGATTCCCCATTACAGACTGTCCTTGCTATAAATCCAAGATGCATCCCAAAAAACATGGACATATAGTGGGGAATTTTCTTCCCACGGCTGACTTCCATTTGTGCAAATTGATAGGGTTTTTTGCACAGCTTCAGAGCGTGGAATGGGAGGACTTATATGCATCAGTTCCTACAAGTGTCAATGACTTTAGTACAGAATGGATGTATACCAGGGCAATTTATAGCGGGGACGCCTTGTAGCACTAGTGAGCTCTAAAAGTTACCCTTCTAGTTACACTTGTTCATTTTCTCCAAATCGGATACATTTTTTCCTTCTATTTAATGTTATAAAAAGAACAATTTATTATTTCTCCAATTGTGGTAGCTCTTCTATCATCCCTATATGATATAAAGAGGGACCAATTGCTTTCATCTTTTGTTTGACAGAGTTCATAAATTGTGATGATTGTACTTAGAGTAGTTTTGGAAGAAGTTTCGCATACTCTGATGATTTCAGTTGATCATCTGCAGTCGGTAGTGGTTTACATCAAAAGAATGATTAGCCTCTCTATTTTTAATCATGGAGAGATCCTCAAAGACAGACTTACATTTGAGTACTTCAGATGACAATCATTTGCCTGAACTTTCATTTGATGCTTTGATTACAAAAACTTCTCCAGGAGTAGCTGAGACCTTTTTATCATGTTTTTGCTATTGGTAGAAACAAAGGCCCAAGGTCGCTCACACTTTGTTTTCTTTAGTTAATAGTGTGTTCTTTCCTGCAGCAGCCTCTGGTACTGCCTTATCTAGGACTTCTCTAAATAGCTCAGTCTTGTGCATTTGACAAATATAAGCCGACTTGCTTAGCCATTAACCTGACAAGATTAGAACTGAAGGTGCCTACGTGCCAATACATTTGCTGCCACTGATAGTCACAGATCTGTAAAACTTTAGGAGTGCAATATGCATGGTTATACCATATTTCCCATACTTCAACTGCTACAGGTTGAGTAGAAGTTAGACCATATCATTTTTGAATGATGGCCACATCATTGCTTTCTTCTCAACTTTCCAATTTTTTAAAAATAAAAACCAGTCACTTCTATTTTGTTTTTAAATATGGTTTTCCTCCAACCTCTGCCTTTGACTCAACAACTGTGAAAAAAATCTCATTGTAATGCAGGGAGATTCAAATATAAAACATTCATAAATGTTACTTGTAATAGTAGTAATCACTTCTACCAAAAATTATAATATCTGTTTAAAATTTGTACAAAATTAAAGAAAGGACATCCGACCATTCATTCTAGATGCCCTTGTCAGTTGAGTCCAATCATGAATTTCCTTTGGCAACTATCAAACCATTAAAAAGAGTAAACCAGTAAAACTAAAACTT